TCGTAAATCAATCTTTGAAAAAGGTTTAAACACAGCATCAAAAATCTCATTATTACGATTCCGTTGAAAAGATTTTTAAATATTTTTATGTAGATTTTTTAAGCTTAATCTGTTTTGTAATCTAGGGTATTTTTTCAAAAAGTTCTTGAAGAAACTATATTTTATTCATAAAACACTAATTTTTTGGAGGAATTTTAAAATCGGTCCAGCTCACGTAAATCTTAATATTTCTCCGAAACATTTTAGCGGACGTCTTCAAATATAATAAATTTTGTAATCCCGGGGGAAACACCACTATTTTCTTTGCTGATGCAGTCTAATGTACATATATTTCCATTGAAGGCAAGGTATAAAAAAAACGGAACTTAATTTGAAATTGTCTGAACTTAAATTGTAAATTTATGAATTTGAAATGAAAATTTTCTGAATTTGAATTGTAACTTTCTGAATTTGAAATGGAAGTTCTCTGAATATGAATCGTAACTTTCTGAATTTAAAATTAGAGTTTCTGAATTTGAAATGGAAATTCTGAATTTGAAATGTAACTTTCTGAATTTGAATTGCAACTTTCTGAATTGGAATTTTAATTACATGCCATGAATCAGTGGATAATAAATAATTACTGAATTCATCAAAAAAAAAAAGTTAATAACAATAACTCTTGTAAAACTTCGAGTTTTGTAAAATTGCTCCAATTATATTTTTTTTAGGGTTGTAAACCGAATAAAGTGATTTGTGCAAAGAAATCTTGACCGTCCAATTTTATTTGTAGGTAGATTATTTGTAATACAAATCGTCACTAGACACGAATAAAGGCACGCTAGTATTACGACGGCGAAAAAAGACGCATACAAAAAATTTTACGAAAAAAGGCGCTTAAGAAAAACTTCAGCGAAAAAAGACGCGTAACCTAGTTGACGGCGAAGAAAGACGCGTAATCATAGATTTATGTTTGGCCAAGGACTGTCACTTCAGCATTATTCCCCCAAAACTATTTACGGAATGTACATACTATTACACCCGCAAACATAGTTGACCGCGAAAATAAGTTTACGCGTCCTTCTTCGCCGTCAACTATGTTAAGAGACTTTCTCCGCTTAAGTATTTATTGTGCGCCTTTTTTCGCGGTCAACTTTTGAGGTCGCGCCTTTATTCGTGTCTTGTGACGAAATGGTCCAAGTGTAATGCGGGGTAGGGAGTTGCATTTTAAGAGGGTGGAATGCAAAGCACAAAGTATCAGTTCTTAATTTTTGTTTTTTAATCTAAAAGGGTCCATTTCTCCTGTTCCTGGTATCAATGATATGCAGAAAGCAGTAATTGGTCGCAGCCTATGGCAGGAAGCATTAAACGTAAATAGGCCTTTGCGATTGGTCCAAATTAGAAACTGGTTACAAAAATTTAGGTTTAGTTTATTGAGTACTCTTTTAGTTAGTTAGTTAATTTTTTGGGTGTAACAGAACAAGAGACACCGCAGTGTGGCCAAGATGTGTTCGGCTTCCCTAATGAATCCCAAAACGACTTTGGTAGGCGAATCCCGTATAACAAAGGTTTCGACCATTAAAGACTTAAAATAAATCAGCCAAAGCCGGACAGGGACAGAGAATATGCTCAGAAGTTTCATCATGGCATCTGTGAAAGGACCTATTCGGTGCAAGTGGAATTGGTTGTGACCGGTCCGGTACCCAGAAAGTAGCCTGATGTCATATATATACATATGTATTTTCCAAAATAATGTTCTTTCTGTTGAAAGGGTAGCCGAAGAGCCTGGCCGCTCTACAGTGTGTCGGTGTGGAACAAGCTAGGTGAACAAAATTCATTCAAGGATTTTTAGAAAAAGGTTACATATTAACCTAGAGAAAATCCGAAAAACTCTGAAAAGTTTCTTTATGTCTAACATTCCACTGTAGGGTGTGGCAGTGTTCAGAAATCAATTTATAGTCTTACGAAAACTCAAAAATATATATTTTTTTGATTTTCGATACTCTTCGAAAAACCTGTCATTGTGGATATGTATGATTTTGTGTAAATTTTAAATAATGGATCATATTTCTAGTGGTATTTATTAGTGGTCTGAGACTATCGATGGCACTATCGATGATTTTTGACTATCGTACCACCATCGGTAGTTTTCAATACTATCGATAATTTTTGAATGTTTTGGTTTTTCTTAAATTATGGTTTTATCGCTTAATGCCACTTTGCATTCGCATTTTATAAAGCAGCTTTTAATAAAATATATTTCAACAGCGTACATTTACCAGCACTTTCCTCTTTCAGCGGGTGTTTTGATAAGTTAAAAATATGGATACATAGTTTCCTGAAGAGAACAGGAAAAGGTAAATTTATGATATTGAATGAAGTAAAACGCCCTAAAAAAATCGAATTATTTTAATAAGCAACGACTCCTTCTGATTCGTATGAAGTTTTGCTTTACGTATGCCTTTTGCCGCGCCGCCCGAAGAGTCGCAATGGCCGAGTGGTCAAAGCATTAGGCTGCCAGTCGAGAGGGTCCGGGTTCGAGTACTCCTCGGGCCTCGGGCAGGATTTTTTATTTATTTTTATTTAGTATTTTTTTCTTATTTTTATTAGTTTTATTTTTTTAATAATCTTTAGATTTTAATGTCAATGTATTTGTATATTAAAGCATTTTGGTTTAATTCCTAACGAAATTCTTATTGAATAAATTTCCTCGCTTCATATTCGCGTTTTTTTAATAAAGTGGAAAGCAATTAACTTTTTCTCCATATTTTTATTTTTGAGACCAGCTCTTAGCCAGCTGACAAATTAGTGACTTTTTTTTGAGACTAGAGACGTGAGACAGCGTACTGAATACCAAATAGTCTCAAAATCCAAGTTCACCACCAAAAGTCCCTATTAGTGACTAGAGACCGCGTACTGAATGAATGGTAAAAGACTGTCGAAAACTATCGATAGTTATCGATGGTTTCTAAAGAACTATCGCATACTATCGATAGTGTCGACTATCGATAGTTTCAGACAACTAGTATTTATTATATCTACTCTACCAAAAATAGCTGTTGATCATTTCTGATATTGTAAAAATGGGTTTCGAAAATTAGAAAAAATTTATATATGTGTTTTTTTTTTATTATTTGACAACTTTGAAGGACTGAAAGGAACATGTCACCTCATGTCACCGGGCTAGATTTTGAATATATCTTAGCAACATCATTTGTGTATTTATATAAAAATATGAATGTTATACAGCACACCGTTCACTATATTACAAATTTAGACTTTTTCGAAGAATGGCTAAAGGTCGGTCAACGTGACGGAAACCTTCACCTCTATAGCTTTCTTAGGTCATAATTTGAGCTACCCGCTGTTGCTTAAGCTACTGAAAGATATATGAAGAAACAAGTTCTTTATAAATCGTCGAAAATCGCTAGCTTTTTACAGATTTTTTTTTATATACTATGTATAAATGTGAGAACGTATAAACAGACTGTAAAACTGCCATTAGACTGACCAATGCAACTCTTACTACGTTTATGCGTAGGCTAATTCACGAATTCATTTCATGAATTTGGTTTAAAATTGGCTGCATAAACACCATTTCATGAATTAAATTATACACGAAAGTTAACCATGAATTCGGCATCGTTTCATGAAATCGTTAAGTGCAAGTCCGGCAACGCCACGTTTCAAAAACAGCTGTTTACTAGGGTTATGTCGTTTTTAGACTAAAAAGCATGAGTGGCATAAGCAGGATTTAAAACACTGGAAAAGTTGTGTGGAATTGTTCAAATATAAAATAGATTCAAATAGAATAAATTGAAAATATATTAAAACCAATGTAAACATAATATGGTTCATTGCCTGGTACCTACGGCTTCTGCAAATTTAAAAGGAGGCCAAAAAAGTCACAACCTTACACTTTAGTTTCTCGCCAGTGCGTTGCCACTTTTTCAAAGCACTTTATATCATGAATTCGCGAACTATGCATAAACGGAACCATTTTTGAATTCATGAAATGAAGAATTCGTGAAATCTGCCGCATAAACGTAGTATCTGTGTAGCAGGACAGCCATGAAACGCCGACATAGCGACAGAGACGAGTAACAATAAAAACGAGTTAGCGCGCGACCACGGACGACAGCGCACGTCATTTCGTTTAGCAATAAGCCCTTAACTTAAAACTAAAGTAAATTAAAATCGACCATATTATTACTTAATATTAATATTGTCTACTAACTAAGTTCAATAAACTGTGGATAATAAGACTTAAGAGTGCATTTCATTTAATTGAAATTAGTCCCGGTATACGTGGATCATCCGACGCGCTTGGTTCCGTCATTTCACAGTTTAAACTGAAGCTGCAGAAAAACCGTTTCGCGGGGAGCAGCGAACAAAGTACGCAGTCACTTTGTACGTAGCATCGCTTCGAAAGCGTCATCAACATCTTTGTGAAGCAGCAGAAGGCTCAACGAAGCACGCCAGCAGAGCATGCAGTTATAAACCAGCACCGAAAAATCTTCGACGTCACAGCAAGCTTCTGGGTGAAGCAAAAGACACGTCAGTTCCAGTCTGAAGCAGCTGAACGCCACCGAACGCAGCACCAGGGTACACAGTCGTTGCAATGAGCAGCGAATATTTAGTGAAATAGCAGTCAGCTTCTGGGTGAAGCAACCAAAGGCGCAGCAGTAGAGTGCGCAACCATTTTGGTGAAGTCGAAGTCAGCTTCCTTCTGGGTGAAGCAGCAACAACAAAGAATTTCTGAGTGAAGTAGCGAAAGTCGCAGTTTTGGCGTAGCGGCAGAGTACGAAATCGTTTGAACGACAGCTATAATAAGTTGCGGCCAGCTTCTTGATAAAGCAAAAACTTCAACTTCTGAGTGAAAAAGCGAAGCGCTCAACAGAGCAAAGTCTTTCAGTGCAGCGGCAGAGTGCACAGTCCCGCAGAATACGCAGAGTGTACTGGCCGTTAAGCCTTTGCCTTTGACCAGTGCGTTTGCAAGTAACTGAAAACGACAAAACAGCATAGCAAAGAAAAACGCAGAAGAAAAAGCAGATCAGTGTGGTTGCCCAATATCAGTGAGAACGACACTACCCTTTGTACGCAAAGAAAGGAGAGGACGTCATCAAACAGTGAGTGTCAAGCAGCGTTGAATAAAGCAGGCAAAGCAGAAGGAAAGACACATCAACGGTGAGAAGGTTTTTATCCAACGAAAATAGAGCGGAGCAGATGCAGGAAGCGGTAAAAGCAGAGAGCAGCGGCTGGTAGGATATACGACTGTCACGTATGCGACGTATGGAAATACCCATATATTATTTTCTCACCCTTTTTATTTCTCTGGTAATAAACTCATTCAAAGTATGAAAGAGAAAGGTAGGATGAACGAGCGTCATTCCAACTTGAATTAAGATGTGTTGGTATTTCAAAAATAAATTGGGACGAGAATGGGTTTTTTTTTTGCACAGAAATAAAAAGAGTGGGAAAATACCTTTCTACTGAGACCCCAGAGGTCTAACCCATAGTTTTGGCCCATTTATTAAAGTTTGTCGTAAATCAATCTTTGAAAAAGGTTTAAACACAGCATCAAAAATCT